CCTCAGCTCTAGACGTCCCGTGGCAGCCCTCCTGTCCCCTGGGGCGCTTGCTGGCTGCACGCTGACTCCACGCTGTCTCTAGGAGGACTCAGCACATCACCACCCTCCGTGGTGCTGGCCCACAACCTGTTCATCTGGTCCAGCCAGGTCTCCAGGCCTGCTTTAAGTCCTGCCCTCCCGCGGAGGCTGTAGCCAGAGCTGTGGGTTCTGGGCTCTGGGCCCACAGGGCTGAGAAGGAGCTCCACAGGCAGGAGCAGGAGATCCTGGAGCTGCTGGAGGCCAGAGCCTCGTCCCGCCTCCAGGAGCCAGGTGTGGGCGTGGCACAGCGCACAGACTCGCCCGCCCACCGCCCACTGTGCGATACTGGCAGGACGTGTGTCATGAAGGAGGGCGGTCAGAGAGCCTGGTCGCTGGGCCTCTGTGTTCAGGAGGCTCCGTCTCCCAAGGGCTAAAGGGTCTGAGGCCGAAGAGCTGTGGAGTGAGATGTGGTAAGTCAGGATCTCAGGTTCAAAGGTGAAGAGGCATGCCCTTCCCTCCTTCCCTCCCTCCCTCCTTCCCTTTTGCCCTCCCTCCTTCCCTCTTTCCCCTCCTTCCTTCCCTCCTCCCCTTCCTTCTTTCCTTTTCCCCACCCTCCTTCCCTCCTTTCCTTCCTCCTTCCATTTTTCCCTCCCTCCTTCCCTCCTTTCTTCTTTGCCTCTCTCCCTCTCTCCTTTTTTGCCTCCCTCCTTCCCTTTTTCTCTCCTTCCCTCCCTCTAGCTCTCTGTCCCTCGTTTCACTGATTTTCTCGGTGGTTTTAATTAGGACAAAACAGTGCAGTTTTATTTGGAGGTTAGTGTTTTGGGGAACGTTGGTAGGAACTACAGGTTTTGTTTTGACTTGTTTTTGCTGTTCTCCTGTGCTGCACCAGTCTTGGGGTGCAGTAGAGGGTGGCATGCTCTGGGTGGTTGTGTGTTTTTGGTCCTGTTCGTTGGGGTTTGGCTGTGGGACCTTTCTTTGATGACATCTGTAGGGCTTTGCTGCTGTGGTCAGTGGAGTTGGGTGGCAGGGCATGGATGGTGCTGCCCGCTGCTGCAGGGCCACCCTTGGCAGGCAGAGGGTGCTGTCCAGGAGGGCCGGGCCCTTGGGGCTGCCTCCCGCCGTCCGTGCTGAGCAGTGCGTGCTGCCCATTGATTTGTCCTGCTGTGATTCTGTGGCTCATGGATGTCCTGGCATGGATTGAGGGGTTCTGGGTCTGTCCATGGCAGGAGGCCCTGCTGAAGGTGGCAGTGCCTTGGGCTGGAAGCTGCAGGATGCAGGGTGGAGACCTGTGGCGGGGTGGCTGTGTCTCAGTCCCAGACTCCTGGGGGGCTGGGACACCTGGCAGCCGCGGGAGCTGCCGCTGGAAGTCCAGTCCTGCAGCTGTGCGGGTGCAGGGCGCGCGGTGGGGGGGGACCCAGTGTTGGGCACGAAGCTGGCTCTCGGCTGCAGGGGGACTCTGCCATTGTCATTGCAGTCACCAATGCTTTACTATAGACCCAGATTTCAGAGTGTCGGGAGACTTGGGCCCCAGGCAGGCTTCATGGCCCTCAGAGGACCAGGGGAAGGGAGGGTGCGGTGCCGGGGTCCCCAGAACACTTTAGCCATCCTTTACCTGGGCTGATGCCGTGTCTCCACGGGGGCTAGGTGCTCTCTTCCCCCACCCAGAGGTCAAGGAACAGCCCAGGAGGGCTCGGCCAGCTGGGCAGCCTGGCTGGAGAAATCTCACTCTGCACCCCGGGCAGGTGGCTGCTCTGTCCAGGGCGGGGACAGGACAGGTGCTGGGAGCTGGCTTGGGCGGCTGGGGGGGGGGGCGAGCTCTTCCTGCGTGACCTCCTTGTCTTGGGCTCCAGGTGAAGCTTGTTTGTGTCCTGTTTCCTTCCCCTCCAACCCCACAGCCATCTTATCACCCTTCCTGTTCCCGAGAGGACCCCAAGATGGGGCCCAGCTGGATTCTGGGAGTGGTGGAGTTTGAGATAACCTCAGGCTCTGGGCCTCACTCCCCTGGGCCGTCACAGGCCAGGCCATCACCGCGCTGGGAGTGCCATGCTGGAAACCAGTGCCTGTCTTGGCCAGTGTTCCCCTCCCCGGGGACAGGAGTCAGAGAGGCCTCTGCACCCTGCTGTTTCTGGAACGGCATTCCTTGCAAGTGCCCCTTCCTGCGCTGATACCCCGCGGGCGTCTCCAGCACGTGCCTGGTGCCTGCCGGGGCGGGGGGGGGGGGGGGGGGAGGGGGGAACATCAACACAACAACATCAACAACACAACAAATTTGCTTGAATCTCACGCTGCCTTTTGTTTGTAATTGACGACGACGCAATAGGCGAAGGGGAGGGATCTGGGGGGTGCCTGGCGGGGGGGGGGGGGGGGGCGGGAGGCTGTGGACGCTCACTGAGCCCTGCTCCCTGCTCCGCTTGAGAGGAGGGGTCCTGGACACAGCTGTCCTCCCCTCGAGAGCTGATTGATTGCCAGGCTTTCAGGAATATTCTGTGAGCTGGCCATAGTCAAGATGAAAGTATGTAAACTTTAAATCAGATAAGAAGGCAGAGGCTGTGGAATCCTGAGTCTGGTTACGTCTGAGTTCTCTGTCCACTCCCCGGGTTCTCCCGGTGACCGGCTGACAGCTCAGCTGCAGACCTGAGGTGTAATCGGGCTGGGGGAGTTGAGCCCAGTGCTGGAACAGCCGTGGCGAAGGGCTGGTGTTGGGGTCAGGATCAGAGGTCACACCGTAAGCCCCCTGGAGGGCCTTAGGGACCCAGACTGGCTGGGGCGTGAGGCCAGCTGATGGGAGCTGTGTGTGCACTGGTCCTTGGGTATGGCCCTTGGGGGGCAGGGTGGTTGTGGGGAGGGCATCGGTCCGCTGTTGACTGGATCTTGGCCGCGGTCATGCCATTGTTGACCTCCTTCTTGATCTGCACGGCCTTAGGAACCACATGTTGCTCCAGCCCTGTGCTCCCTCCAGTTGCCTTCTGGGAGCCGCCATGTTCCCAAGCCTTTCTGATCTCAGAGTTTAGGGGCCATCTTCCCCCAAAGCCTGGGAGCTGGCAGAGGCCGGACTTTGGGTCTGAATGTGTGAGTCCCCCTCCCGCCCCCTCCTCCCCAGTGTGGCAGTCTTGAGGGTTGCTTCATATGGGAAAGTGGATGGGTGGGGGAGCCAGCAGCTGGGGGTGAGGGGCGTAGCCAGGTCCTGGCCCGGGATTGGCTGGGCTGCAGGCACAGCACATGGACTCAGGACTCAAAGAAAGGCTCTGGGCAGCCAGGGATGCTGGAGGAGCTGCGGCCCAGGCAAGCGCCCGAGGCCCGAGTTTTATGTTTTGTTTTGGACCTGGGAGGGGAAATAAAGGCCTCTGTGGTTCCCAAGTACAGTTCCCAGACACTGCCGCCTCTGTGCTGCTGGGAGCCCCGGAGGTTTCCACAGCAGCGTCTGGGCAGCGGGGTGAGCAGGCTGGACTTTGGGGGGTGGGGGCCAGTGGGGTACCCTAGAGCTCAGGAGCTGGGGGGCAGGGAGCCTGCTGCCCTCTCCACGCTCCTGGCAGTGGGTGCACAGTGCCAACTCTCCTGGAGTCTTCTCCACTAGAGAAAGCCACTCCCTTCTAGAAGGTTGGTTGGTTTGTGAGGACCTGGTGTAGCTGCCGGAGGGTGGAGGCCCCTCTGTGCATGGGACTCGACAGGACGGGGGAGGGGGTGTGGGCTGGGGGAGCTGAGGGCTGTGGGCACACCGGGAGGGCACATCCCGGGGACAGCAATGGGCTGTGGGCTGAGAACCCACCTTCCTCCCTAGGACTGGGGGGAGGGGGACTGGGCAGCTGTGCCTTGGGAGGTCTGGGGGCAGAGGGGTCACAGGGCAGCACCACCCAGGACAGCAGGTGCAGTAAAACCTGGGGAGTCCTTGGCCTGGTGCTGGTCTGGTCTCTGAGACCTCATCTGGGATGGGGCTCTCAGGTGGCCTCAGCCAGGTGGCCTCATTGGGGTGTGTGGAACTGAATAGTGTCCCCCCATATTCATGCCTGTCTGGACTCTGTGAAAACAGCTTTAATTGAAAATAGGAGCTGGGCGCCAGTGGCTCAAGCCTGTAATCCTAGCTCCTTAGGAGGCTGAGATCAGAGGATCAAGGTTCAAAGCCAGCCTGGGCAGGAAAGTCTGTGAGACTCTTATCTCCAACAAACCGAAAGTGGTACTATGGCCCAAGTGGTAGAACGCTTGCCTTGAGCTGAAGAGCTGAGGGACAGCGCCCAGGCCCAGAGTTCAAGCCCCACGACCCACCCTCCCCCCCAAAAAAAGAGAAAAAAATAGGGTCATTGCAGCTAGTACCAAGACGAGTTCCTCTTGAAATGGGGTGGCTCCTCCTCAGCCCAGCCCAGCGGTGCCGGCCTGGCGGCAGGACCCCCATGGATAAGCAGGGGCCCCGTCTGAGGCTCGCTCGGGGCAGTGAGTTTGGTCCTTTCTCACGGCTGCATGAAGATTTGGTCTTTCCGTTGTTTTTGTCGATGGAGGCTGGAGCTCAGGGCCTCACACTCACGCTTCTTTGCTCAGTGCTCCTGCTCACCGCTTTAGCCATGTTTCTGGGCTGGCATTTTGATGGTTAATGAGAGGTAGAATCTCATGGGCTTTTTTTGGGCCTGGTCTGGATTTGAACCTTAATCTTCTGATCTTAGCCTCCTGAGTAGCTGGGATTACAGGTGTGAGCCACTGACTAAGAGTTTGTCTTCTTGAGGAGCTCAAATGTTTGGAGCAAGGGGTAGGTGTTCTAGGCGGAGGGTCCCTGGGGACCCATGCCCTGGTGGCTGTGTGCTGAGTCCCTCTCCAGGGGTGGTGGGAGGAGCTCCCACGGGGAGCTGGCATGCCTTGGGTTCTGATTGTGGCAGTCAGGATCCTCGTTGCATGCGGCCAGCTCCAGCGAGACTTCTGACTTCAGGAGGCCGTGGAGCCGAGAGCTCCAAGCGAGGGTGGCTTCCATCCCTGGCAGAGCCAGCCAGGGCCTCCGCCCGGGTGCCCAGGCCTCAGGGGCTGGCAGCCTCCCTCGATCTGCATCTTCCAGCAGCACAGGAACCCTGGCTAGACATTTCCAGAACAAAAGGAAGTAGGCCTCAAGTTGGTACATCTCCCCTACCTGTTTTTCTAAGTCAGAGCCATAGCCAAGGCTGCGTGCGGAGAGGAAGGCAGAGCTGGCATTCAGTGAGGCCGGGGAGCCTGGATGTGCAGGAGGAGTAGGCAGGGGAGTCATGATTTGAGGCTGGTCTGGACAGAAACGTGAAACTGTCTTGGGAAAACAACTAAAGCAACATAGGGATAGGGTGTAATGGAGTGACAGAGCACTGGCGTAGCAAGCAGGAGGCAGAGTTCAGCCCTCACCTCCACCAAAAGGGAAGGAGAACACACTGTGGGAGGGGTTCAGGGCTCCTGGAAAGAGCTGACTTGGGAGCCCCCAGTTGCAGGGAGTTGACCCCCAAGGCAGGAAGCCCCTAGGGCAGGGCGCTGACACCCCAGTGCAGAGAGCCAGCACTCCAGACAGGGAACCCCCCAGGCTAGCAAGCCGACACCCCAAGGCAGGAAGCCGATACCCAGGACAGGCCAGTCCTTCCTGCGTCCTCCACACAGGCAGTGCAGTGTGATCAGAACGTGAGGTGTGTGATCGGTGTCCTGTGCGAGGCCACGCGGACTTTCCAGAACCTTAGACCCAGTGTACAACTCATTGGGTGAGCACGGGTGACTCACAGTGACCATTGTCCATGCCCCCCCCCCCGCAGATCACATATGCTTTGTCTTAGATTTAGCCCGAGAATTCTGAAGGTCAGAGTGAAGAAGCAGAATCCCAAGTTCATGGGACCTGTGTGTATGGACTCTGTGTGTGTGTGTGTGTGTGTGTGTGTGTGTGTGTATGGACTCTGTGTGTGTGTGTGTGTGTGTGTATTGTGTGTGTGTGTGTGTGGACTCTGTGTGTGTGTGTGTGTATGGACTCTGTGTGTGTGTGGACACTGTGTGTGTGGACACTGTGTGTGTATATGGACTGTGTGTGTGTGTATGGACTCTGTGTGTGTGTGTGGACACTGTGTGTGTGTATATGGACTGTGTGTGTGTGTGTATGGATTCTGTGTGTGTGTATGGATTCTGTGTGTGTGTGTGTGGACACTGTGTGTGTGTATATGGACTGTGTGTGTGTGTGTGTGTATGGATTCTGTGTGTGTGTATGGATTCTGTGTGTGTGTGTGTGTGTGTGTATATGGACTGTGTGTGTGTGTGTGTGTATGGATTCTGTGTGTGTGTATGGATTCTGTGTGTGTGTGTGTGTGTGTATGGACTCTGTGTGTGTGTGTATATGGACTGTGTGTGTGTGTGTGTGTGTGTGTGTGATCGCTAGGATGGAGCCCAGGGCCTCATGCATTCTAGGTTTCATCTCTCCTCCCCTGCAGATTTTTTTTTAATTGCTTTTGAGCTGGGTGCTATAATCCTAGCTACTTAGGAGGCTGAGATCTGAGGATTAAGGTTTAAAGCCAGCCCAGGCAGAAAATTCCATAAGATTTTTCTCCAATACATCGCCAAAAAGCTGGAAGCAAGGCTGTAGCCCAAGTGGTAGAGTGACAACCTTGAGCAAAAAGCTAAAGGAGAGCACCCAGGCCCTGAGTTCAAGCCCCAGGACCAGCATTAAATAAATACATTTTGTTTATGAGATAGTCTCACTAACTTTGACCAAAGAGGCTTCAAACTCTCCATCCCCCTGCCTCAAGCTCCTGGGAAGCTGGGATGACAGGTGCATTCCACCACACCCTCACCATTATGGATCCTGAAACTCTGTCGGGGCTTTGACCAAGTTAGGAGGTGGCCTTGTGCTCCCCCTTTTGTTGAATCTCTTGTAAGGAAGTCACTGATCCTTCGTGAAATACATTAGCTGCCAGTGCTCTATTGCATTGTGAATAGTCTCAAGTGGAAGTGTCTTACGTTTGTCCAGTTCCATTAGATTCTGTTACTTTGTGGATTATTTTTCAGTCTCTTAATATAGCCGGCTTTCTCCTCTCTGGGCATTGGCGGAGTACAATTATCTTTTGGTTGGTATCTTTGTGAATGTACTGTTCTCAGGTCCCTCTGGAATGCCACGTTCTGTATGGGACAGACATGTTGTCATGTGGCCGGCAGTGTCTGCACTGCCCTCTCCTGGGCTTTTGCCAGCATCCAGGGCACTGCTGTGTGGAGGTGCCTTTTCCTGTGGTCCAGTGTCCAGTGTCACACCGCCTTGTGTTGCTGGTGAGCTGGCTTGGACACACTGCGTGCTTCAATTGTCCCGAGGGCTCTGGGGCCCCTTCTGCTTGTTCATCTTGCCCTGGACTGTGATGCTGAGAGGAGCTGGGAGGAGCCCAGAGGAACCGAGAGGAGTGTGGCACCTGGGTGCTGTGGGTGTGAAGGTCGCTGGGCTCCTCAGTGTGTGATGGCAGGAAGTTCTTCCTGCCTGGCCCCACCTGGCATTGCATGGGGCCCCCTGCCCCCTGCCCCACTGTCCCCATATCCTCACTCCGGTGGCTTTTTGGGCCTAGCCCCAGGTGAGGACCTCTGTATTTGTCTCCTGAGACTCCAGATACTTGTCAGGCATCCCTGAGCAAAAACCTGCTCAGAAAGGCAGTAAGCGGCAGATTGCTGGAGCTGTGGGCCTCTGCTAGGCACTGAAGGCCCTCTCTGCTGGCCACATCCTGCTGTGGGCCTGGAAGTGAGGCCACCCGGAAGAATGGCCAGGCCCCTGCTCCCTTGACATTCAGGAGTTTGTTAGGGGCTTTGCTGTGGGGAGTGGACACCTGGGAACATCCATGCTAGGTGCACGTGTGTGTGAATTTGCACCCAGTGCTCAGGGTGCTATGTGAACCTGCCCACCCTGGTTGTGTGGGTGTCAGGCTCAGAGTGGCCAGCACCCCACACTCAGGGTGGGGGCAGGAAGCAGTCTTTCCCGGGTCCTTGGAAGAAGTGGGGTCCAAACTCAGTCCCCTAGCAGCCAAGGCTTTGCTGGGCACCCCGAGCATTAGGAACAGATAGAAATGTGCACGGCATCCCTGGGGGTTGGGCAGGTGGAGAAGGGAAGGGGCGGACGTGGGACCAGGTCTAACCAGGGACTCAGGCAGCAGCTATGATGCCAAGGCCTGGCCTTGGTGGCTGCAGGCAGCGCATGGCCCGGTGTCCCCGTTCCTCGCAATGTTTGGCATTTTGGGCGAGGGGTCAGCTCCCTGCCTGTTCCCTCACACCGTTCGGCGTGCCTGTGGCTGTGAGGAGCCGGCATTCTTCGGTCCTGCCGGGGTGGAGGCGGTGGGCGGAGCCTCAGCAGCAAGAAGGCTCGGTGGGCTGAGGTGCTGGGTGCCTGGGGGCCTGGCAGAGGTCTGTGGCCGGGGTGGGCGTTCCCTTTGGGCGTGGCATGGGGCCTGGACCTGGCCGGCCAGGGCAGTGACCACGCAGGCCGTCTCCCTTGCAGGGAGCCCGTCCGTCATGTCCGGGTGAGGCAGAGGAGCGCCAGGCTGACCATGCTGAGGAGGCTGGACCGGATCCGGTTCAGAGGCCACAAGCGGGAGGACTTCCTCGACCTGGCGGAGTCCCCAAATGCCTCGGACACGGAGGGCGGGGACGAGCTGCCCCTGAAGGTGCCCCGGACCTCGCCCCGGGACAGCGAGGAGCTCAGGGACCCCGTGAGTACGCTGACCCCCTCGGCACTGTGCCCAGCCTCGGTGACCGAGAGTGCGTGGACGGAGGCCGGGCTGGCACAGACCTGGGGCTGGATTCCCGTCTCCTCATCTTGCTCCCCATCAACCCCACCCCCCACCAGGCAGGGGCCGGCCCATGTCAAGCAGGCTCTGTACTGGAGCTTGTCCAGAGCCTGCGTGTTGCTGCCTTTCTCATCGGTTTCTCTGGGTTTGGGCCAGCTCCTCAGTGCAGGTGTGAGGAGGCTCGGCCTGGCCCCAGACGTCCACACGGGGTGGGGTAGGTAGGGCGTGGCTGGGAGGTCAGGGCATACATCAGTGACCTCTGGCCCCAGCTGAGCCCTCGTTAGTGTGGCGGCCTTCATCCAAGGTCCGTTGAGTGCCTGGGCCAGGCCTGAGGCCTGGGTGCAAATCGGGCTGCATGGGCCTCCCCGCAGAGTGGTGCTTCGTGGGTGTGGTGGAGTGGGGGGGGGTGCGGCCGGAGGCAGTGGGGTGGGGCGTGCGCCTGCTGGCCCCTGCACCTGGACCCCCCCAGCCTCCCTGCCAGCTGAGGATGAGCCTGGCTGTGCTTCGTATTTGGTAGCCTGTGGCTTTTCACGCCGGGCCCTGAACCAGCTTTTGTTTGCAGATGAGGCCGGCACCACTGCCTCCAGCTCCTTGTATTATTAATGCTTCATAATAAGATGTGGACAGGGCACTGCTGCTGGCAGGAATTAATAATTCACCACGGCAGCCTCCCAAGAGCCTGGCTGTGAGTCCTGCCCTGCCCGGCCTGTCTCTCGCGTTCGAGGCCTGCTCTTCCAGCTCTGGCTGTGTCCCTGGCTTGGTGTGTCCCCCGTGCCAGCACCGTCAGTGAGTGACAGCAGCTTGGCTGATGTTGGACAGCTCCACGCGTCTGTGGGCTGGTGGTCTCTGGGCTTAAGGTGCGGTGACAGGAAGCCCATCTCCTCTCTCCCCCTCCTCCACCCCCCCAGTGCGGGTCTGAGCTCAACAGGGACCTCATGTAGAGACTGAAGCCGGGCTATGCTGCCTGTGGCTCCTCCTGTGAGCCAGGGTGGGAGGCAAGCATGGCACGGGTCTCCAGGGCAGCCACTTTGCAGCCGCCCTGGTTTAGAGTCTCAGACACTAGCATGGAGGCCCGCCGTGGCTGTCTGTGGGTTGATTGTACGGGCCGCAGGTGCTGTCGTGAGTGGAAGGTTTGTCCAGGCCCACTGCTGCCCTCTGACCAGCCAGGAGCCACCTGCGGGACCTGCTGTCTGCAGTTGCCGTGTGATGCTGCTCAGCCAGGACAGGGTGGGGTGGGGAGCGGGGGCTGCCAGAGGCGCCGAGGTTCTGAGGAGAACAGAGGTGTCACCATGCAGGGGAGACGTATGGCGGGGGCGGGGCCCTGGTGGATGGAGAGGTGTGGCAGCGGTGGCCTGAGTGGGAGCTATGTTGAGATCACACCTTCCACATGCCACGCTCTGCCAGACACATCTCAATCACACCTCACCCTGTGCCACGCTCTGCCAGCCACATCTCAATCACACCTTCCACATGCCACGCTCTGCCAGCCACATCTGAATCACACCTCGCCCTGTGCCACGCTCTGCCAGCCACATCTGAATCACACCTCACCCTGTGCCACGCTCTGCCAGCCACATCTGAATCACACCTTCCACATGCCATGCTCTGCCAGCCACATCTGAATCACACCTCCCCTGTGCCACGCTCTGCCAGCCACATCTGAATCACACCTCCCCTGTGCCACGCTCTGCCAGCCACATCTGAATCACACCTTCCACATGCCATGCTCTGCCAGCCACATCTGAATCACACCTCCCCTGTGCCACGCTCTGCCAGCCACATCTGAATCACACCTTCCACATGCCACGCTCTGCCAGACACATCTTAATCACACCTCGCCCTGTGCCACGCTCTGCCAGCCACATCTGAATCACACCTTCCACATGCCACGCTCTGCCAGCCACATCTGAATCACACCTC